TACCTGGCTGGCTCAGTTGGTAGAACATGTGACCATTGATCTCAGGGTTGGGAGTTCAAGCCTGATGCTGGGCATAGAGCTTACTTAAAAAAAGAAAAAGAAAAAAAAAAATTCTCTAAAACATGCATTGACAGCAGAGGTGATAAAATGCCGTGGAGGCAAAAATTGGTTCTTGGCAGGATGAAAAATTTTAGACATTACAGAGACATGAGGCCCTCCAAAGGGTCATTCATAGTATGTACAGATATATATCTGTAGCATTAAAATTTGATGGCCGTGGGAGGAGGAAGGGGAAATTGTGGGGAAAAAGAAGTCTAAAAAGGTTCCTTGAGGGGGTAGTGATAATGAAGAAAAGGTTGAGATGCACCACTCTAAAGGAAACCAACAAAATCTAGGCTTTTAACAATGTATGATCCATAATACCAAGCATGTGATAATAAAATTCCTAGACATGTGAAGAAGGAATGGAACAGAACAGAAAACCTACTAGCTGACCTGGATTTTATTCAGCAGGCAATGAGCAGTCCATGGGATTTTGTAGAACAATGTGACATATTCAGATCAGTGTGTTAGAAAGATAATTCGAGGGCGCCTGGGTGGCTCAGTTGGTTGAGCGACTGCCTTCGGCTCAGGTCATGATCCTGGAGTCCCTGGATCGAGTCCCGCATTGGGCTCCCTGCTTGGCGAGGAGCCTGCTTCTCCCTCTAACCCTCCCCCATCTCATGTACTCTCTCTCTCTCTCTCATTCTCGCTCTCTCAAATAAATAAATAAATCTTTAAAAAAAAAAAAGAAAGATAATTCGAGACTGGTGCAGAGCGTGGTTTAGAGAGGGAGAAGAATAGAAGGAGGAAAGGCTGCTACAAACATTGAGACGGAAAAACATGAGAGCTTCTAGTAGTGGAGATGAAAGTGGGAGATATTTGAGGGCAGGACTGCTAATTCTCAGTGATCAACTGGACATGCAAAGTGATGGCGAGGGAGAAATTAAAGATTAACTCGGAAGTGACTGGAACTTGTCACATTTAAGTGTTTGTGTTTAAGGGACTCTGGAATAAAGTAAGTAGTAAGAAGTATGAATCTAGAGCTATAGAGGTCTGGGTCAGAAATGCAGGTTGGTGTAGACCCAGTCACTGAAGCCACAGGAGTGGATGATGCCACACAGAGTAAGACACTGGGAGTCAGCGGAGAAGCCTGAAGAATCTAGGGGCTAAGCAACAGGCAGAGGAGGAGGAGGGGCCGAGAAAAGAAAACAAGTAGACGGTAAGAGTCGAAGAAAGAAGTACTGAGCTGTCCTCTGCCCTTCCTCATCGGTACAAATGATCCCCCAAGGTCTCGACATCACAAGGGGAATAGCACATCTGCTTCGTTTGCAATAACAATGAAGGACCACTGTGCTATTTTTCTTGGGGTTCAATGTTTCTAGGTATAGCACCATAAGAAAGTTATCAAATGTTTTTAAGAAGATAGCCTTCATTCCTTTAAACATAAAAGAATTAAATATAAAAAGATAATATGAATCAAAAGGGAATTATGTACCTATTTTCTATACCCTGTTCGAATACCTCACGTGGTGTGGTAAGGAAAAGTGGAGGAAGCTGTAGAAGAGGCATCAAAGGACCACTCACTTCTCAAAGGCTTCTCATCAATCCAGAGTAAAAGCCAAGGTCTTTACCATGTCTACGACGCCCTTGCAGATCTTTCCTCTGCCTCCCTCTGTAAACACATGCGCCTCTTCCTCTCTCTCTCTCATGCCACAGAGAACACCCTAGCCAAAACAGCCATGACCACTGTGCTAGCCACTCTCACCCATTTACTCACTTTATTTTCATTTATAGCACTCATCACTCCCTGAAATTATGATATAGATGTATTTGTTTATTTGTTTCTTATCTTTCCCACTAGAGTTTAAATTTCATGAGAACAAGAACTTTATCTTAATCACAGCTTTTTCCAAGCACTTAGAGCAATGTCTTACACACAGCTGGGCTTGAGAATGATGTGTTGAATGGCATGCAGAATCAATCTGAACTTCTTGGTTCTATCATGCATAAAATGAGGATAGTCGGGCGCCTGGGTGGCTCAGTTGGTTAAGCGACTGCCTTCGGCTCAGGTCATGATCCTGGAGTCCCGGGATCGAGTCCCGCATTGGGCTCCCTGCTCAGCGGGGAGTCTGCTTCTCCCTCTCCCGCTCCCCCCTCTTGTGCTCTTTCTCTCTCTCACTCTCTCTCTCAAATAAATAAATAAAAATAAAATCTTTAAAAAAAAAAAAGATTTAAAATGAGGATAGTCATCCACATCTACTCTGTCTACTCCTCATACAATGAAATGAAATAGTGTATGTTAAAGCACTTTATAAACTTTAAGTCACTATACCATGGAAGGTGGGGGCTGGTAGTGGTAAAGGATGCCTCCTGACAATCGAAGAAAGTTGTGCTCATAATTATCCACATAAATACATGAATTTTTAATGATAGCCTGGAGAACAGGTGTTCAGATCACAGTTACTGATTCCATTTTTCTTTAAAACAGAAAATATGCCTAAGAAATATGTACCCAAGCATACAATATCCAAATATCAGATTTGGATCTAACCAGATTATACTCTTCAGGAGACCAAAAAAAAAAACAATGAAGATTGAGCTAGCTGACTTATAAGCAACAGAAGCAATTTAATTTCTGAAAAAATTTTTAAGAAGAAAAGATTAAAATTAAATTCAGTGTTATGAGCTGAATTATGTCTACTATCTCAATTTATATGTTGAGGTCCTAACCTTTGGTACCTCAGAAAGTGACTGCATCTGGAGAAGAGTTAACTGAGTTACAACAAGGCCACCAGGGTGGGCTCTAATCCAATGTGACCGGTCTCCTTCTAAGAAGAAGAAATCAGAACATAGACACAAACAGAGGAAAGACCATGTGAAGACCCAGGGAGAAGACAGCCATCTCCAAGCCAAGGAGAGAGGCCTCAGAAGAAACCAACCTTGCTGACACCTTGATCTCAGACTCTCAATCTCCAGAACTGTGAGAAAATAAATTTCTGTTGTTTAAACCATCCAGTCTGTGGTACTTTATCATGGCAGCCCTCACAAACTAATATAATTTGTTATTTTAGAAACCAAGAGAGAAATCTGTGTAAAGGAGTTTCATAAAGATGAGGTTAGCAAACTAAAATAATCCTCATAAATATTTTACTTTACTATCATCATTCATATTGAAAGATTAATTTTAATTAGAATTGTCTAAGTATAAATTTGAGTTGTCAAATTCCCAAATCAATTTAAATTTTCTCATTATACCTCATATTCTCCCTAAGAGAACCCACCTTTCACAAAGCAATTAGAGAAGGTTTTATCTAGCACAGAGCACAGGAGCTAGGCAGTTATGCTTCTTTTCTGAATTTAGGCCCATGGTGGATTCCAATTTTTTTTTTAATTAATGGAAAGACAATTTAAAAGGCAACTGCATCAGAGTCACTGACGTAGCCTATCTCGACTCCTCAGGAAAGTATCCATCAAAATATAAAATAAATATGCATAACTGCAAATCACCCTATCTCCAGATTCTAGGGGGATTTCTACTGGGTCTGGTACCACTGTAGTCTAGAAGACCCAGCCTCCATAAGCAAGACACTTAAGGCAGGAACAGAGGCAGAAAGACCCTCATAAATTCCTGACTTTCTTTATGAATTTGGACCCCAGGGTCAGAAATGAAGTTGATTCACATACCAAGACATGACTCCTCTGTCATTTACAGGTAAAGCTCAGTTCTTCATCTGTATCTTTTTTTTTTTAAGTAGTAAATACACATAACATAAAATTTGCCATCTGAACCATTTCTAAGTGTACAGTTTAGTAGTGTTAAATATATTCACATGTTGAGCAACCGATCTCTAGAACCTTTCATCTTGCAAAACTAAAACTCTACACCCATTAAACAATAACTGCCTGTTTCCCCCTCTCTCCAGTCCCTAGTAACCACCATTCTACTTTGTCTCTTATCTTTGACTACTCTAGGTACATATAACAGAATCATATACTGTTTGTCTTTCATGATTGGCTTATTTCACTTAGCATAATGTTCTCAAGCATGTCATGTCATGTCATAGCATACATTAGAATTTCCACCATTTTTAAGGCTGAGTAATATGCATGTACCATATTCTGTTTATCCATTCATTTGCTGTTGGACACCTGGGTTACTTCCATCTTCTGGTTTTGTGAATAATGCTGCAATGAACATGGGTGTGCAAATATAAAAACCCTGCTTTCGATTCTTTTGGATATATATCCAGAAGTGGAACTGCTCAGCTCTGTCTTTCAAACTCCTATTACTTTTTAATTACTAACAATTTCAACATGTTATGTTTAAATTTGCATTCTTAAATTTGTATAAAGTAGGTAGAGTTGAAAGTCGGATACATAGGAAGAGAAAGCTGAATATTCTCTTGGAGCAATTGGTATAAAGGATCACTTGTATAAATAATTAGTTGAATTACTTTTGTCCTTTTGGTGGGAGGAGTGTAACATATCCTTTTAAGACTCCAATAAAGCCTATGGCGCCTATCCCAGGAGAAAAGTGCACATGGGAATGGACATCCAAAAATACCTATATAATTTCAGGACATTCATGTGCCCCTGAAGTCCATCTATGAACACTGCATCTGAAAGGCTGCAGACTAAGAAAAGCCCAAAATTGGGTTTCAAAATTCTAATAAATGCTAAGTATCAATAAATACTTTCTAAACTCAGAGGATGACATGCTTTGGATCTATCTGTGAGTCAGCAATCCAACGTACCTCATATTCCATCATTAGCTAGCTCTTCAAGTATTTTTAGACCCCCAAGCCATAAATTATAAAAACTGTGCTGTCTCTTGCACCAGCTCCCAGAGACTATGCATATCAGGCTAACTGAGGCGTGTGGAGGAAACAACAGAAAACAGAGGTGAAAATGCAGTTTAAAGATTGGTAAATATGACAGAGAGGGGGAATCTAACTCACAAAATCTGTTTCAAGTTTGCCCATTTCTTGCTTGTAGCTTCGCATCCTGTTGCTGTACATTCCTCGACTTTGGGGTGGTATCTCTCGGACTTCCAGATCCATCTGTTCAAGCTGGCAGGGTGAGAGGAAAACGTGACTTAAATCATATGCTTATACTTTATTTGGCCAGACATTTAGAGCTGAAAGGATTTAATCCCAATTGCTCGTTTTACACCTGAGGAGCCAGACCGAGGGAGCTAGCTGCCTATGATCAAATAACAATGGGACTGCTTTGGGGCTTAACTTTTGTTTACGTCAACAAATAAATAGTTCCTGAGTGTTTGCTAGTGACATGCAGAGTGCCAAAGCACTCACTTTGTCAAGAATGTTTGTTTTTTTTTCAAACATATGCATTAGTCCAAACATCCTCAATAATAACAATTTTAATACCTTTGGTGTGTTCTAGCATTCAGTTTAACCTCACCTGGTTTGGTCTTCTGACCCCAAACCACCAACCAGGGCTATGGGAACATAAAACAAACCATTATTTCTACCCTAAATCTAGAAAATGTCAGCTCAGCCTTAGTCATTTGGTGAAAATTCTTCTGGAAACTCTTTTCTGATTAGGAAAATCACATGCCAACCAGCTTGTGATCTCAACCTTCAGCCTAACTCCTTCTACTTTATAACCATGTTATGGCATTAAATGGATACAGCAATTTACTAAATTACACAAAGCTCGCTGATATCATAACCACATATTTCTCAAGAATCTGGCATTAATAACACTTTGGATACAACACATGCGCATTTACTGAGAGGCAATACAAAAAGAGTGTGACGGTTAAGAACACAGGCGTTTGATTCGGACACCTGCATCCACATCATAGGCTCCACTACTTACTAGTTGTGCAGTCTCGGACGGGTTTATTAACTCCTCTGGGGCTTACTTTTCTCATTTCTAAAAATAGAAAGTCTTTTGTAGGACAGCTGTAAATATTATATGGTGTAATTCCTATAATGTGCTTACAACAATGTCTCTTGCTTGGTAATGACTAGATTAATGTTAATAATAGTACAGATGATTACTGATGATGCAGAAGAAATACAGCAAGTAGAGACACAAGGTATCAGAGGTAGCTTATTTATACTTGGCATTAAAAAATAAAACCCACCACCACCAGCAAATTGGCTCAGGCCATGTCAAATAAACTCACACCCAAAAATGCTGTTTATATTTTACCTCTTAAAGCATTCTAATGAGTTATTTCCATGACTACTATAAGCTTATCACTAATAAAACTCTTACTTGTCCAGCATTAGAGACTGAATAATGATAGTAGCTCTCAGATAAACCAGAAAACCATGTTTTAATTCATGGGTCTTAATTTTTATTGAGAGAGAGAGAGTTTTAATTAGATTTAAACAGTGACTACTTAAATTATTGCCCTGCCTCAACATAAATGTGAAGCACCAATAAATTAAATTACTCAGCAAGGCAATTTTTTAAAATACTTCTCTCGGGGCGCCTGGGTGGCTCAGTCGGTTGGGCGTCTGCCGCTCAGGTCATGATCCCAGGGTCCTGGGATTGAGCCCTGTGTCAGGCTCCTTGCTCAGTGGAGAGCCTACTTCTCCCTCTACCTGCCGCTCCCCATGCTTGTGATCTCTCTCTCTTTCTAATGAACAAATAAAAATCTTTTTTAAAAATTAAAAAAAAAAACCACTTTTTGAAATCATCATTACATACCTACTTCTAACAAGGTGAGCAGGATCATCCAAATAACTGCCTAAGTACACGTAAGTGAAAATCCAAGAGTTAACTACACTGCTGTTTAAGGCATTTTATAAAGACACTGAAAACAAAATTAAAAGTAGGCAAGAAAAAAAGGAAACACACAACAAGCACTTTCAACAAAACCAGGAAAAAGTTAACATGAACTTGTTTCGTGTTGTCCCAACATTCAGATGGCCAACACAACCTGGGGGACACGGTAATCACAAGACAAGCAGCGTCCAAGAGATTAATACAAACCAGTTGTTCGGCAGAAACACAAGTAATCCTAATAAGTGAAATCAAAAAGAAGTTTTTCTGGGCGCCTGGGTGGCTCAGTTGGTTAAGCGACTGCCTTCGGCTCAGGTCATGATCCTGGAGTCCCTGGATCGAGTCCCGCATCAGGCTCCCTGCTCGGCAGGGAGTCTGCTTCTCCCTCTCCCGCTCCTCCCTCTTGTGCTCTCTCTCTCTCTCTCTGACTCTCTCTCTCAAATAAATAAATAAAATCTTTAAAAAAAAAAAAGAAGTTTTTCTGCCAGGGTCCTCCCTTGTCCAAAGGAGATGTAATACAATGAACAGTGTCCTTAACAAGGATGTCATCGGAACTAAGTAAATCAGCCGTCTGATTGTTTTAAACAAATAGAAACACCTATCTTAGAACTCTTGAGGTTGGTCATGACTGAAGATGACTACAAGCTCCATGAGGGGACGACTATGTTTTATACTTCTTGGTCCAGTAAAATCTTGGTTATTAGGAAACCAGCTTTCTAACATCATTGAATACCTTGATGGCTCAACAAACCAACACAGATTTTGAGGCAGAAGAACTGCTCCTGCAAACTCAACAACAACTTAAGGGGTCAACTCAAGATCCAAATAACTGAGCAGCTGCACCTCACTACTGATGGGAAGCTTCCAGCCAGAAGGGAGGGGTGTCCTAACTGGCAGCTACGGTATGCAGGAGGTCAGTCTTTTTACATGAAGGCCAGAAAGCATGAGAGAAATAGTTGAATATAAAGAGAAAAGAAAGTAAGGAGACAAGCATTTGCAAAAAGGGAGAAACTGTCAAACGAGAGGCAAACATTCGAAGCTGGGGAGTTAGAAGCCAAGCTGCCATGGCGACAGCACAGCAGAGATGAGAAGCGAATCTTCTGGAGCCTGGAGAGCTAGAAAGACAGCTAGAGCTGTCTGACAGACAGCTACAGCTGTCTGAAGAGCCTCTGACAGCTAGAAAAGAGCCAGAGAAGATGGAGCAGTGTGGTGCAGCTCGATACCTCAGCCCTCCAAGTCACAAAGCAAAGGTCTGCTGTGTCGTGGGGAATGACAACCACCTACTTCTGCAGAGCTCCTAAAACGGCAGCCCCCTGCGTATGGCCCTGTCAGCCAAAGTCAGTCAGTTGGTCAAATAAGCCTGGAAACACTCCAGGCTTTAGCTGCCTCCTACAGCCCCTCTCAGAGATTCATAATGTCTCAGCCTCCTACAGGGTCCGAGAAGATTCTGTAGAAAAACAACAACTGAAAAAGATGCCAACCTCCAATTTTTCTAAGCTAGCTAATTTCCCAAACTTACTTGAACTGGTAACAGTGGTCACAAGAAACACACTTGGAGAATTGTTCTAAGTAAATCAGTAAGTATGTACTGAAGGAACCCCAAGTAGCACCCTTCAGTATTTAGGAAAGCGACACACTCATTTGGGACCACAATGCAGTAACAAGTAGAGTTGTACTTGTAATACTTGGCTTTGAAACCAAAAACTGGGACACAATACTTTTTAATACTTTTTGTTCCTTGATTTACAAATTTATTTATATCCAAAAGTAGTGGATGAGCTGGAGCTCTGGATTTAGCACATTTAGATACAAGTCCATACTCCACCACTTGCTGGGTGTGGTACCTCAAAATTACTTAATCTTTCTAGACCTCAGTTTCCCCCGTCTACAAAATGGGGGCAAGAATGGCATTGAGAATCACTCCTCTGTGGGTCTCTCACGCTCCCACATGTCTTGCTGGGCATGCCAAGAATGCGAGGCCCTGACCGCTCCTTTCTCAAGCCATTTCTCAGGGTTGTATTTACAGGGAGCAGCCCTGGGGGAAGAAATACTGTGTCCCTCTGGGACAAACAGCAGGCTCGCTCTCAGGCTGCCACAAAGCAGGGCATTTCCCAGCCTCCAGGTTCCCCTCCGGTAAGGTATTCCACTGTGCGTAGGCCTTCTTCCAGGCAAACTTGCCTCACCCTGTGGGAGCTGGGGCTCAGGGACCTGAAGTAGCGTGCTGAAACTGGCAGCACCTTTTGCCATAATAAAATTCTTTTGTCTCTGACCTAGGAATCTCTTGTCTTCCGCCAGCATCCATGAAACTATGGCAAGCCCACCTGTTACAAAGCAAGTAGGGGAACATCTCAGATCTTTAACACTTCTTGATGAATAGCATTTGTCTCACAGGGCTTGTGGGAAAATTAAATATTATAAAGCAAGTAATATGCTTAACCCAGTGTCTGGTACTCAATATGCCTTTAACAAGCATGAGCTATTTCTAGCTATTATGAAAAGTATTATGAAGGAATAAAAATTAAAGGTGGACCTTTCATGAATCCCAAGAAACTATTAAATTCTCTTCAACTTGAAAACTGAGGAAGTCCGAATTATAAAATGCTAATCAGAAATGTTTCATGTTTCTACATAGTATAAAACAGGCTAGAGAAATGCATCAGCAGAAAAGGCTCTGGTTGTATGTTACAATATATGACCACGTCTGTACCTACCAGTTCTTTTGCTTCTTCGAGCTGTTTCTCCACATTTGCAACCATCTGCTTCTTCTCATCTGAAACAAACAATAAATACCAAGGAATTGCTAGGAATACAAGTAAATGTGATATATAAAAACCTCTATTTTTTATATGCCTTTTCCTTTCTGGTCAGAGTAGAGAATTACCACATCAGGCAGATGACCGGATCATTTTTTGGTGGGTTAGGAACCACTTTAAGCCACTGAGTCTAGGCTATATATAATCCTATGGAGTACCTAATTATGAAAAGATGCCATAACATTTCTAAGAGAAAACAAAAATTAGTTGGTCCTTTAGAAGAAACTGTGTCAACAACAAATGTGCAAATTTAGTGGTTGCACGGGGAGTCTTCAGAGTCATGACTTTAATAAACTGGGAATCACTGACATGAATACAATTTAAAAGTCACATGGGGTAAATGGGTGATGGGTTAAGGAGTGCACTTGTAGAGATGAGCACTGGGTGCTGTATGTAAGTGATGAATCAATAAATTCCACACATGAAACGAATATTACACTGTATGTTAACTAACTGGCATTTAAATAAAAATTGGGGGGGAAAAATCACATACCAAAACAATTCCTGAAACTGGGCACGATGTTACGATCCTTTAAAAGACTGTACTTTCATTAAGAATTGGGTGTAATGAAAGAAATATTTGAAGTCAGGACTACTGATTCTAAACCCAAAGTCACCACCTACTTTGCTGGTTGTGGAATCCTGGATAAGAAAGTGTTTTTTTCTGAGACTCAGTTGGTACTCTCTAAAATGGAAATTTAAAACAGCTAATTCTTTTTAGCTCATAAAGCTGATGCAAGTAAAATTACTTTTAAAATTATGAAGTGCTAAGTCTCTGTATGTAGTTTATTCAAACTCTACCAACATTAAGTTATCACCCAACTGTAGCTCCCTTTCCTGGGAGAGACATGTCCTAGCAGGTATTTTCAGAAAACTTCTCACCCCCATTCCGAAACAATCAGTCCATTTATTCAGAGACTACACCTAAGTTTTGTGCTAAGCAAATTTATTGAACATTTATGGTTTTGTGTCTAGCATTCTTCTTTTCTCAGGCAATAACCTCACTCTTTTGAGGCTCTCCTCTTCACCAACCAGGTTGATGGAAGATGCTATCTCCTTCCATGACCCTGCCCCTTTGGACACAGTGACTTAGCAAAGCACGGGCTTCTCACCTAGCTGGACCAATCCCAGTAGCTCAATCCCTCTTGCCACATTGGTCTGGCAGGTGAAAGTGGAGTCTGCATATAACTCAAGTAGACCAATCAAAGTCCTAGAGCAACAGCAAAGTCTTTTCCTCTCTCTTGGTAGAGTTATGATGACCTGAGTCTAGAAGCTGTTGGCATCCATTGTTCTAGCTACAAGGATAGCCACTTTGCAGTGGTTAAGAATGAAGTCTATATTGAGAAAGAAACAAAGCTGAGGGATAGGTAGTAGGTAAGTAGGTAGGTATATTTAGTTAATTAGTTTCTGGTTCCAGATAACTCTGAAACAGGTTTTGCTTGACTTTATCATGATTTGTTTTCTTGAACTAACAGATTTCTTTATTTAAAGTTAGGTTTCAGGATGCCAGGGTGGCACGGTCAGTTAGCATCTGACTCTTGGTTTCAGCTCAGGTCATGATCTCAGGGTCTTGAAATCGAGCCCTGCATCGCACTCTGAGCTCAGCGTGGAGTCTGCTTAAGACTCTCTCTCCCTCTCTCTCTGCCTCTCCCCACTGCACACATTCTGTCTCTCCCAAATAAATAAATAAATAAATAAATAAATCTTTAAAGTTAAGTTTCTGTGAACCTAACGATGACCAACTAATACAACAAACGAGAGAAGTCATGAAGCTTGAAATGGGTACCACGTTTAATAGCTGACTAACTCTTCAGGAGGATAGTCAACACTAAGTGGGGAATCTTTAGTGGAAGTTATTATTTTGCTAGAACCATAATTAGGTTCTGCCATCCCCAACCCCTTCCCTTTGATCCCCCCAAACTAGGGGGGATAGCTGTCACCTGTTTTGTGCATACTCCAAATAAGAAAAATGCACATTTGAAATTAAAATTTAGTTTATTTTTCCCTCTTTGAAAAAGTTAAGCCTACATATGGCCAGATTAAAAATTTAGTATATGACCCCAAATTTATTTGCTCCTGGCACATGTCATCTGTCCGACACCTCCACAAGTTACAGGAGAAGTTCACTATTTTTATGCTGGAGCAGAATATGAAATAAGACAAGCCCATGTTGGACCAGGGGTGAGATTATGAATTTACATAGCAGAAGGAACATCTGGTTTGCTTTAAGGTGTTCAGTAGTTAGGAAAGTCCATGCCGAGCCTCTAGGACCAAGAAGCACCAGCTTTTCTCATCAATAAAACAAAACAAAGGAAGAAGCCTTCCTTGTCCTGTATTCCCCTTTGCTACTAATTTCTCTCTCCTCTATCCACAGTCACGTTTCCCTTCCTCATCTCCCCATTTCCGCCCGGTAATCTCGCTCTCACCCCCACCGATCCACTGAAATGACTCTAAGTCTGATGACCTTTTCTTTGCCGAAACAAATGGACATTCTCTGGTCCTACTTTTACTTAATCTTGTGGCATCCAACATTCTGCTCCTCCGATCCTATCACTTTTTCGTCTCCTGGCTTCCAAGACACTGATTGTCTGATCCTCCTACACACCCACTTCAGTCTCAGTGTCCTCTGCCAGATCCTTTTCCTCCATTTATCCTTTAACTTGTTGGCATTCCTGGAAGTTCAGTCCTTACTTTTCTTCTCTTATTACTATGATCTATGTCCCTGGACAATTTCATCCACTCTCATTTTTAAACTGTTATATTATACATTTATGATCCCAAATCTTTATCTCTAATCCTGATATATTTCCAGGACCCAAGACCTTTAATCCCAATGCCTATGCCTACCTCCACTGTGACTGCCTGGCAAACTGCTATTCAAAACTCGGATTCAGAAATCATCACCTCTTCCAAGCCTTTCCTAACCCGACAAAATAGTTGGCTGCTCTCTCTTACAGAAAACACCTACAACCCTTACCTAATTCCAATAATTTATCTCTCACACTTACAGGTCAGATTTATCTTCTAGGTTGGGGGCTTTAATCATGTCTTAATTATCTTTATAGTCCTAAAATCTAGCACTGAGCCTGTCATATGATCAGTTCTTGAAAAATGACAGTTAATTGAATAAATAATGTAGGACAGTGCAAACATTTACAACAGAAGCTATGGTACCAACCACCCTGCTTTCCCTGTCTTCACACCTGCTCCTCTCCACCACTTAATCTTCCTAAAATGTGGCTTTGATTGCATCACTTAAGCCTAGCAGTCAAAGTCCTTCACATTCCAGATCCAAGCAACCTTTCCAACTTTATTTCCAACTACTAGCTCTCCACTGTATATGCTACATGCTAACCAGACAGACTATTCATTATTACCCAAACATCTCTCTCTGTCTCTCTTTTCCTGCTCTAACCTTTTGTTTAAGCTACCATTTCGGGTTCTTTGGCTGAATACAACAGAATTGATTCTGGCTAACCTCAGCCAAAAAAGGGAATTTATTAGAAAGATAGCTTTTAGAGTTAGAGTGGGAATCTTATTGGAATAAAACGGATTGGTTCATAGAGTCAATGATAAAAATGAGCCCCAAGCTTAGAAAGGACAGCTCCCAGCGTGGCTCAGGATAATAAGGGAGCAGGAACGGACAGTCTCTGCAAAAGGAGAGTCTTGAGCAGCAATGCCATGCTCTCTTCCTGGTTCACTCTGCCTAAAATTGGAATTACAGCAAACGTTCTCTGAATGCACTCCCTTGGGCAATGTGTTCACCTATTGACCTGGATAGGGCATGGCTGCCTGTCAGTTCCACCAAGACTGGGTTTAGGTAGTTCCTCAAAGGAAAACTGAGTGCTGCTATCAGAAAACAGAATAGAGGATTCTGGGCAGTCCAAAACAACAGATACCCACCGCACCCATTTACTGCAACCTCTCTTAATATACCCTTTCCCCATTTTTGTCTGCTAACTTCCACCTTTCCTCGAGGTGATTTCCTGGGACAGATCTTATCTCCTCTGAATTCCCAGACCTCTGTGCTCTGTTCTGGTGGCTCTGATGGTCATGAGAAAATGCTTTCTGTAGTTTTCCCCTCACCTTCATTTCCAGCTCCTCGGAGGCAGGGACCACTCTTATCATATCTTTGTCCTAACTCTGAATTTAGCCCTCCCCAGTGTTCCTCGCATTTTTAAGAGAATGAAAAGGTGATGATTTAGGAGGGAAGCATGAATGAGGAAGAAAGGAAGGAAAGAAAGACTGAATGAGATGACCTTGGAAATATCTACCAACATTACATTTTTGGCAGTCTTTGAGCTCTACTCCTATGTAATTCCCAAGACGGTTCCATGCTTTCCACACCAAATGGCAACCCCTTTACAAATGGCACGTTTCTAGGATTCAGAACTTTGTAACTAACAGCTATCATTATTTTCACAGGGCTATGTGTTGAACATTACCACAGTTAATCCTCAAAACGGCCCTTTGGAGATACTAGTATTATCAAGTACATAAACTCAGAGTGATTAAATAATTTCTCCAAAGTTAAACAGCTAATAAATTGCAGAGTTGGAATTCCAACAAGGTCTGCTGTTCAGAACTGAGTTCTTAACCTCTGATGTACTCATAAAATATACTATATAAACAAATTTCATCACCTTTTTTTTCTTTTGCATATAGGCTTGATGAATGCTAGTATACACATAAGTCTTTGCATAGTATGATCTTTCCTTGTGCACTCAATATTAACAGAAGTGCTTAGGGCTGGTATAGACACAAATCTACATAGCATGTTTTTTTGTTAGTATTTAAAGAAGTGCTTAGTTAGCCTTACACACCCCCTCCCCATAAAGTAGTTTGTCAGAGCTAACTTGAATTCAGTGACTGGTACCCATCTTTGTGCAATGTAGCTATTTTTAGATAAAATAGCAGCAGAAACTATGTACTGGGAAATATGGAGTGAAACCACTAA